GCATGGAGGTTTTTTTTTTTTTAAATATACAACTTTACTTTTCAGATAGTATTTATGTCAAGAAAGCTATGTTTCAACCACTTCTAAAAGGTTTATTACTATAAATTTAGCCCTTTCATAGTGCCTAAGGCACTTGACTGCTAACCAGAAGGCTGGCGGTTCAAATCCACCAGCCACTCCTCAGAAGGAAGATGGGGCAATCTATTTCCGTAGTGATGTTGTTGTTGTTGTTATGTGCCGTCGAGTTGGACCCAACTCATAGCAACCCCTCCTTGGGTTTCCAAGGTGGTATCACTATGGAAGTAGATTGCCCAACCTTCCTTCTGAGGAGTGGCTAGTGGGTTTGAACCGCCAGCCTTCTGGTTAGCAGTCAAGTGCCTTAGGCACTACACCACCAGAGTAACTTTTTTTTACATGTACAATGCAGTGCATTTAATATTACCTTGTAACATTTTCCCACGTCCTTGAAAATTCTCTTAAGAATCATTTTCAGTGGCTGCTTATAAGTCCATGTGGATAAAAAGAGGAGTCAAGTACATCAAAGCAAGAAATGAGGACTGAGGAGGATGGAGTCCAAGTGTATTGTGAGGTTTGGAGCCTATTCAGTTTCCAATTCCTTCCAATTCATTATTAGATGGAGAGAATTGTGTATCACTGTTAGGAATAAGGAAGTTAGGAGAGGAGCTCAATTAATTAAAGAGGAGGTGAGTCCTTTTAGACAAACGTTTTAAGTAACAACTCCTGCAGGCTTTTGAAAAACTGACCAGGGCTTGAGTGAAAGATCTGAACAGGAAGAAGAGTTGGGGAACAATTGCAGTTGGGATCAGCTGGATGCAGAAGGGCAGGGATAAGTAGAGGCCACACTTGGATGTGGGGGATGCAGGAAGTAGAAACAGAGGAGCCAGCCCAGTGCCTCAGGGGAGGCAGCACAGACGAGTCGGAGGTCAAGGTCGAGGTCACTGGAGGGCTAGCCAAGGGGTTCTTGAGGTAGGCAGGGAGGTGGGGGATGAGGGAGTGTCCTAAGTTTGCCAAAAACTCCCTCCCAAGATGCAAGCACACTGAGCTGGGTAAAACCTCCATTGACCCAGTTAACTGCAAAGCTTAGGAGATGTGTTTTCTAATTATTACATTATTATTATCATTATTCAGAATCCCTGGGTGTTGCAAATGGTTAAGTGCTCAGCTAACAGAAAGGTTGGATGTTTGAATCCACCCAGGGGTGCCACTGAAAGAAGGGCCTGGTGACCGTGGACATCTGAAAGATCACATGTTGAAAACTTTGTGGAGCACAGTTCTAGTCAGATCTGATAGTGTCACCATGAGTCAGAGTTGACTTGTAAGTAACTGGTTTGGCTTAGGTTATTATCATTACTAGTTGGTAAACAAGTGTTAAATATGAAATTATTTCCCTTTCATCTTTCTTTATTTCAAAGTTCTCTGACCTGTCCATCTCAGTCTCTGGGCTCATTCTGAGCAGCAGGCCTGATTTGAATGTCTTGGAGTGAAATTGGCAGAAAAAAAAATGGAAAAGACTGGATGACATGTGTTGAACTGTTGGAATAAACTGCTCACAACTAGAGTTCTTTTACTAATCTCTTTTTCAGCAGCAAGAAAATCTTGGTGGAGTGGGGTGGGGTTCGTTTTGTTTGGTTTATTCGTGTTGAGTTTTTGCTATAGATATCCCAATGCATGGAGTAAATTTAAATAAGATAAGGAATGGACAGGAATGCCTAGTAAGAACTTGACCACACCTGAAAGTGGACCTGTGGAGTTAATACTGCAATTGCTGCTGCTGGGACTGACTTTCCTGACTAGCTTTTTTGATCAAGTACAATTCTACTGACATCTCTGGGCCTCAGTACATTCACTGACAAATATACATACACATACACACTACCTCCTGCCCTCAACCCTGTCTCCTACACTAAAACGATTTTACAAGTCTAAGGCCATGTGTTTTGAGGAGGAAAACCACAGGGGTAAAATGCCATTCTCATCACATCATATTAAGGGTACAGACTATCAACTTGTCTTATTACTGTTGATGTTAACCTTGATCACCTGGCTGAGGTAATGTTTGTCAGGTTTCTCCACTGTAAAGTTACTCTTTTTTTTCCCCCTCACCCTTTCCATATTATATTCTTTGGAAGTCCCTATGTGTGGCCCCTGCTGAAGTAGTGGGGAGTTATACTTCATCTCTTTGAGGGCAGAGTATCTATATAAATTACTTGGAACTCTGCACAGGAGATTTGTTCATTCTCCCCATTTATTTATTCAGTCATTTATATCAGTATGCACTTGTGGATATTTACTTTATATATTGTGTTATAATCCAAAACTTCTTTATTTGTTTTCTTGCTCAAATTGTTCCAGCTCTGGCTGTCGGGAGCCCTTTCAGTTAGCTCCTGTGTCTCTTTGACCCACTCCCATCTATGTAGAGTTTTTGTTTTGTTTTTCAGCATTCTTCGCTGTCTGCACTACAACATGCTCCAAGCTTATCTTGTATATTTCCTACTCCAGTCCCAGAATTAGTCATTTCTGCAAGAAGAAAGTGAGGGCCAAAGTTTTAATCCTCAAGAACGTGTGTCTGGCTGGAAGCTGAGCAGAAGATCTGACAGGTGGAAAGGACTAAAGCCCAACCCACTGCTAAGATGGGACTTTCCCAGCAGCAGCAGCCAGATTTGCAAGTCATTAGTGAGAAATAGGTGACTCACCTGCTCCCCAGGTTGTCTCCGCCCTCTCCCCTCTTGCTGACAAGACTGTCCCTAAACCAGCTTAGACAGAGGGACCTAGGTCAAAACGTGTCCCCACCCATGGGGCCAGAAAGGAATGACCCATTTAGGCAAAGTTAGGGTTTTCACCCATGCCAGCAGACACTACCATTCTACCATTACCTGCAGAACAGGGAGACTTCATTTCATCCATTTTATTATGTATATCCCTCCTATTATTTATATCCTGCCTGTGGAAAGAATTAAACAAGATTACTCTCAAATTTACAACTACAATAAAACTATTATTAAAACCCATGCAAAAGGACAAGAGCAGTGTAAGAGCACAAAGGCATGCATGTGTGTGTGTATAATAATTTCATCCCAGATACCTGGCTGGGGCAGCCTCCCTAGAAATCCTAGGATGTCTGAATCACAGGTTGCTAGCACAAGGACTTGCAGAGATGAACAAGCTTCACTCGTCATTTTATAGAGTCGAAACTGATCAAGTGATTTTTTTTGGGGGGGGGGGAGGAGCACACAGCTAGTGAGCTGAAGAACTGGGAATGCTGGGACAGGTGTCCTGATGTCCAGCCCTTTTCAAATATCCACTCATGACTCCATTTACAGGACAGCAAAAAGAACAGCTTTTGGGCCTTCTAGAGAGAGAGAATGGCAGGGCAACTCTTTCATTTGCCAGATGAATAAACTTTTGTGGATGTGTCTGAGAAGTCTTTGGAGCTATGGGACTACAATTAGGGGTCACTAGCATCCCCCCAGACTCTCAGACATAGGGAATGTAGAATGCAGACATCGGGATGTAGAAGTGGATATTGGGGATCCTGTATTTCCTCATAGTCAAGATTTTAACTTTCTAGCTGTTGCCTTCTTCCCACTCAAAAATAAAGATAAAAATCAGGCAAAATGAGGCATTTTAAAGAGATTTGGGTTTATGGATTTTTATGCTACCAACTCATCAAGAAATAGCTTTTTCTCTTTTAATATTCACTCCTCTCCCAAATAACACTGTTCCTTCCTGCAACAGCTTATGAATGGCTATTCCCTGTGTTTTCAATCATCTTTGTATAGGCTAAGATGAAAAACCACCATGGAAATCAGAAAAAGGGTTCTGGGCCTGGTGTCCCTTGGTGTGGCCTCTGTAAAAAGACGAAATTAGCATCAGGCTACTCTTCACTCTCCTGGTGACCTTCCTAGGGTTACCTGGGAGATCTTGTCTCAGTAAACTTCTTCTAGGGCAAGGACAGTGGGTGACCCAGAACAGCTTCTACAAATAGGTAATTAATATGCTTTGGATGATGATGATATTGGGTACTTTGAGGATTTAGAAAATATTTAAATGGCGACAATGTCCTTGAAAAACCACCCCAGCTAGCTTCTCCAGCACTCTGAGTTCCTTTCGTGGAGGTGAGGGAAGGTGTTCAAAGCCTGCCTTCAGGGTGAGTTGTTGTTGTTGTTATGTGCCGGGGAGTCGCCCCGACTCATAGCGACCCCTCCTCGGGTTTCCGAGGCGGTATTACTACGGAAGTAGATCGCCCATCCGTCCTTCCGAGGAGTGGCTGGTGGGGTTTGAACCGCCAACCTTCTGGTTAACAGTCAATTGCCTTAGGCAAAAATTCAAATATGTCACCATGACGTAGAAATTGAAATCTCACCACACCAACTCCCCAGAGGTAACCACATTACCAACCTGGGGCATATCCAGCCAGACTTTATTCTTGTACAAGCATGTTGTTGTTATGTGCCGTCGAGTCGGACCCGACTCATAGCGACCCCTCCTTGGGTTTCCAAGGCAGTATCACTACGGAAGTAGATTGCCCCATCTTCCTTCAGAGGAGTGGCTGGTGGGTTTGAACCGCCAGCCTTCTGGTTAGCAGTCAAGTGCCTTAGGCACTATGCTACCAGAGCTCCTGTACAAGCATATGCATAGATTTTTCTGTTTTAATTTGAACAAAGATGGCTCATATTATATTGTGTTCTGCACCTTACTTTGTTCCTTAACAATATATCATGGGTAGCTTTCTCTGCCAGGATACCTCCTAGATCTGCCTCATTTTAGCGATTCTTTGTCCTTCTACCTGTATGGTTCTTCTTTTGAGCATCAGCTTTCCGCCTTTTCCCTCTTCTGTGTCTGGGAGATCACCTACTCTCCACGAGTGCCTAGCAGAGGTGGGCGGAGTCTGTGAACCGCTCGGGTATGCAGATGAGGTGGGCAGAACCCCACATATACCGGCGGCTAGCGGCAGGCGGGCGCGCCCAGCCTCTGCCGACTCAGTCCGAGGTAGCCAGAGGAACCAGCTCCCCCAGCACAGCCTAGCCTGGTCCCGGGCTGGCCCCTCTGCTGCCTCCTGAGCGGGCCATGCCCCCGCGGGATCTGAGCGAAGAGCCACCGCCCCTCCGGGCTCCAACCCCTCCCCCGCGGCGGAGCAGCGCGCCCCCGGAGCTGGGCATCAAGTGCGTGCTGGTGGGCGACGGCGCAGTGGGCAAAAGCAGCCTCATTGTCAGCTACACCTGCAATGGGTACCCAGCGCGCTACCGGCCCACGGCGCTGGACACCTTCTCTGGTACGTTCCACCGCTCGGCGGCAGAGTGGCTGGAGGTGGGAGTGTGCACCCGGGAGTTGCGGCTGGGCTGGAGGCGCGGCGGAAGGGCACGAATCCTCCGGAGAGGCCGGCTAGCAGACAGGCAGGCAGGCAGGCAGCAGGCCTCGAGGTGGCGCTGGTGGGTATGGTGGGCCTGGTGGGGCCAAAGGACGCTCTTCCTAACTCAGGCTTTCCTCTGCCCCTTCAGTGCAAGTTCTGGTGGATGGAGCCCCCGTGCGCATTGAGCTCTGGGACACAGCGGGACAGGTGAGAAGATAGGAGCAGTCTCTACTGGTTGGGGCAAAGTGGGCTGGAGGAGGAGGACCCCAGATCGAGCTGCAAAGGGGAAGGCCTTGAGCTCTTGGTTACAAGCCTCAGGGTTTCCATCTCCAGGTGAGGAGCTAGTTTTCCTGTATCATATGGCAGGGAATAATCCCATTAACTACCTGACATTCCTACCCTAGGATGACTTTGACCGGCTTCGCTCCCTCTGCTACCCGGATACGGATGTCTTCCTGGCTTGCTTCAGCGTGGTGCAGCCCAGTTCCTTCCAAAACATCACAGAGAAATGGTTACCAGAGATCCGCACTCACAACCCCCAGGCGCCTGTGCTGCTAGTGGGCACCCAGGCTGACCTGAGGGACGATGTCAATGTACTGATTCAGCTGGACCAGGGGGGCCGGGAGGGCCCAGTGCCCCAACCCCAGGCCCAGGGTCTGGCGGAAAAGATCCGGGCCTGCTGCTACCTCGAGTGTTCCGCCTTGACACAGAAGAACTTGAAGGAGGTGTTTGACTCCGCCATTCTCAGTGCCATTGAGCACAAGGCCCGGCTGGAAAAGAAGCTGAATGCTAAGGGTGTTCGCACCCTCTCCCGCTGCCGCTGGAAGAAGTTCTTCTGCTTTGTTTGAGCAACCACGGCAGGGTAGCGAGCAGTGGATGGGTGGCCAGAGACTTCTGGAACCTGTGGCACGGGGCCTTGGAGGAGGGCTACTGACAGGGCCAGGCCACCTAATGGGACTCAGTTCCCTTCTGAACGCTGTGGGGATGTGGGGCATCTCATTGTCCACTCTGATATGACAGGATGAGCCTGGAAGGAAGGCTCTGACCCAGATTTCTGGCATCAAAGTTCACACAGAAAACCCAGCACTTTTCATGGGATGATCCCAATAGTGTCAGCTGCCTCTGAGCAGTTTGGGATCTAATTCTGGGTTTCTTATCATGGGCCAGCAGTGCTAAATTAAGACTCCTTGTAGTGATCCCCAATTCCTCCTTGGCACAGGAGTGAGGAAGAGCTTGGGCATCTTGGAGGGCTGGAAGGTGTCTAGCCAGATTTGGAAAGATGTTTGGGCTGGACTGTGTAAGAGGTCTGAGAAACTGAAGGGAGTAGAAACAAGGCCTTGGAGCTTGAGAGTGGAGACTGACTGGAGGTATGAGGCAGACCAGAGGGCGTGGCCTGGAAAGAGGAAGAGTGAGGAGGAGGAGAGCAGGGAAGTGGGGCTGATGAGAGCAAGGCTGACACCTGGGCTGCCCTCAAGCCAAGGAGGGCAGGGCAGCTGGTCCCTGGGAAGAGCTGGGTCTCAGAGTGCCCTAGGCACTGCCCAAACTGGCTGGCCCAGAAGTGGGGCAGGAAGTGAGAGGCAAGGCCCAGCAGGGGGCAGGGGGAAGTTGCTGCAAATTAGAGTCAGGAAGGGGTTGTACAATCACCCCTCTCCCCAGGGTCGCAGCCTTGGAGGTAGGGCAATGCAGAGCATGCAAATAAAGCCTTAAGTTTCTGAAGCTGCTGTCTCTGTGTCACTTCCTGGAATGGTCAGCAAACCACACTGCCTGTTGCTTGAATAGCTCCTTTTAAGACCCACCAGCCACTCCTCGGAAGGAAGGTTGGGCAATCTACTTCCGTAGTGATACCACCTCAGGAACCCAAGGAGAGGTCGCTATGACTCGGGTCCAACTCCACGGCACATAACAACAACAACAAAGTCCCAACAGCTGCATAGAGACAGGTTGGGCACCAAAGGACTGTTTAAGGGCTGAGGCTGAGGCTGGACTGGAGGGTGGGGGTTGGCCAAGGTGGCTGATGGGACAGTGTGATGGGAACTGGAGTAGGGGGGCAGGCCTGGGGCTCCCTGCTTGGGGCTTAGCTGGTTCCCAGGAGAGCTAGCGTGGGAAGCAGCCTGGAAACGGGTTTCCCCAGGTGTCAGCGCCAGACCTGCTTTCCCATGACCTCACCTGGCGGGTGGGGCCCCTCCCCTCTCCCCCTTCTTTCTAGAGGGCTGTGCTCAGTGCTGCAGCTCTGGGGCAATCTTGAGTCTTCTAACTTTCCTGCTCTGATCTGGCTGAGGCCTGCTCCTTCAGACAATCCATAGGGTCTTAAACTAGGAAGCCTTAGATTCAGTGCTTGAGCAGGGAGGGAACTCTCTTACCACTTACACTTCAGCCTCTGGACTTAGATTTCCCACTGGCCAAACTTCTTGGACTTGTGTTGGTTGGACCCAATCTTCAGCCGTGGTCCTCAAGTCCACTTCAAGAACCTAGTAATGACCAGATGCCAGTTGTGAATTTAAATAGAGTAAGTTTGGTCCTAGGATTCCTGTGGGAATAAGGGTTCATTGGGAGAAGCCCTGGAGAGAAATAAAGATCCAGAGAACATTCTCTGGAACTGAAGGTGGAAGGAACTTTAAACAAAGGCCACCTTGGAAAAACAAACCTTTTTTCTCTACAGACCCAGAGAGAAAAAGCTATTATGTCAACAAGAGATAAGGTTCCTATAAGAGCACTTTGTACAATGACATGAGACAAAGTATATGTGAACTGCTGTATGAAAAGTGAATTTACTCTGTAAATCTTCACCCAAATCCTAATAATAATAAAAAAAAAAGAGCACTTTGTAAACTCTGGGTTTAGTTACCTGGTGAGGGTTAGTCTTGTGAAGAGGTTTTTTAAAGGCAAAGTGGTGCTGCCTCTGGCATGACCTGGTACACCTGCTGAGCAGCTGCCATAGGAGCATTCACCTGTCCCAGCTCATCTCTGGACCAGCTCCCTCTGCAGGAAGCTACAACTGTGGGCGTGTGAAAAAGAGCATGGCTGAGAGAAATCCTAGCCAAGGGAAACCTCAGATAATCCCCTAGTTCAGTTTTAGCCAAGACTGTCCATCTCCTAGGAGCTCTGGTAGCATAGTGCCTAAGGCACTTGACTGCTAACCAGAAGTCTAGCAGTTCAAACCCACTAGCCACTCCTCGGAAGGAAGGTTGGGCAATCTACTTCCCTAGTGACAGCGCCACGGAACCCCAAGGAGGGGTCGCTATGAGTCGGGGCCGACTCCACAGCAAACAACAAGAAGTCCATCTCCTGTCCCACCAGGGCCTACCTTCTAGAGCTCCAGCCCTTTGTCCCCTTGCCCTCTCAGGAGGACATGTTGAGTTGCATGCCTCATAACCACCAGGTCCTGAGGTGCCCTATCCCCAGGATCTGTGGTTACCTCAACCAAGCCTAACACTCAGCTCCACAGCAGAGATCTGAGTTCAAGTTCAGTCCCTGACATCAACCAGCTCCATGACTTTAGATGAATCTTTTTCTTTCCCTGTGCCTCAGTTTTCTCCTTTGTAAAATGAAAGATTCAGAGCTCTGATTGGATTAGAGGTTTTCCGCCTGCTCCAAAGGGCCTTAGAGGTGCCATGGGGTTGGGAAGGAAGCCTAGGCTGGTGATCTCTGGGCCCTTCACCTCCAACTTCTTCCCTATTTCTCTGATGGTACCAACACATCCATATCACCCAAAGGTTGTCACCATGCCTCCTCCCCCACCCAGTCACCAAGCCTGGTCAGCAGCTCCTCCATCAGCCTTACCCCCATATCCCTGCCACTGCTGCTTCCCACTCTAATCCATTCACTGTCACTGCCTTCCCCTGGACACCTAACAACTCAAGACTAGAACTGGCTCTCACTGTCTGCTGAACTCTCAACTTCTCATTTCAGTGTTTAAGGCCTTCTTGAATCCAGCATCAAGCTGGACCAGGCCAGCGTGTCCCAGTGATCCCCAATTTCTGATCTCCAATTGTCTCTTGAATCCTCTGACTCTAAGCCTTTGGTTTTGCCAAATCACCTAGTTCAGAAAGTGCCCTTACCCACCTTCAAGATGTTGTGTTCATATACAGTTTGTTTAATGACATTGACTGCAATTCCCCACAATGTAACAGTTCTCTTCTCACTTCCTCCTGGTAGGTACCTCTTCCCTGTGTCCTTTCATCCTATGCCCTTCCCATCCCCCAGCTGTCTCCCTGTGCAAACACCGCCCTGCTGTTCTCCCATGACTGATCTCTCCAAGGAGTGTATCTAAGCTGATGTAAATGTTCACCCCATATGCCTGTCTATTGTTTGGCTGGAAGCCACAGGAGCAAGTTCAGTTCCAGACCTGAAGGGTAATTAGGGACCATAGTCTCAGGGGTCTCACCAGGCTCTACCAGACCAGTAAACCTGGTCTTTTTTATGATTTTGAGTTTTGTTCCACAGTGTTTTCCCACTCTATACAGGATCTCCAGCACTGGTCCCTTTCTGAGTGGTTGACAATGATAGCTGGGCACCATCTAATTCTGGTCTCATAGTCTTCTGATCCTCATGGCTGAAGATCGCATGGTCTACCAGCCCCTTGGACTAATTGTTTCCATATATCTTTGGTTTTCTTCATTCTTCTTTGCACTGGATGAGGAGAGACCCATCGTTACATCTAGATGGCTGCTTGCAAGCTTTTAAGATCCCCGTTGCTACTCACCAAAGTAGGATGTGGAACAACATTTTTGTGCAGTATGTTATGCCAATAGAGCTTGATGTCCCCTATGATGATGGTCCCGAGCCCACAGGTCCATCTAATTGCTCCTCTGGGTAACTGGCTGTGGCCAAGAAGCTACCACAGCTTTGCCCTTTGTCAGCTCTACTATACACCCAGTTATTCTTTTTTTTTTTTTTTTTTTAATTTTTATTGTGATTTGGGTGAAAGTTTACAGAGCAAATTCATTTTTCACACAGCAGTTCACACACACTTTGTCTCATGACATTGACTGCAATTTGCTGCAATGCAACAGCTCTCTTCTCACTCCTTTCCCTTAGTTACCCCTTGCCTGTATCCTTCCCTCCCATGCACTATGGTCTCCTGAGCTGTCCCCTGTGCGTACACAGCCCTTCTATTTTCACATGATTGATCTCTCCAAGTAGTGTATCTTCTTAATGTAAATATTCAGCTCACATGTCTGACTTTTGTTTGGCTGGAAGCCACAGGAGTGGGTTCAATTCCAGACCTGAAGGGCAACTAGGGGCCATAGTCTCAGGGGTTCCACAAGGCTCTGTCAGAGCAGCAAACCTGGTCCCTTTTTGTGTGTGTGTGTGTGTGTGTGTGTGATTTTGAGTTTTGTTTCACACTGTTCTCCCACTCTATCCAGGATCTCCTACATAAATCCCCCTCCAAGTGGTTGACAGTGGTAGCTGGGTACCATCCAGTTCTTCTGGTCTCATAGTCATATAGGCTGAGGATTGCATGGTGCCCCAATCCCTTGGACTAATTGTTTCCATGTGTCTTTGGTTTTCTTCATTCTTCTTTGCTCTGGACGAGGAGAGACCTGTCGTATCTAGAGGGCTGCTTGCAAGCTTTTAAGATCCCAATCACTATTCACCAAAGTAGGATGTAAAACAATGTTTTTGTGTAGTATGTTTTGCCAATTGAGCTTGATGTCCCTGCAACTATGGTCCTGAATTCACAGGTCCAACTACTCTCTCCCTCTACCTGGACATTCTTACAGCATATACAAATAGGCATGTAGAAATATCGTATGTCAACCCTATACATGGTCATAGGCACACTACTCCTTGCCTAGACATACCTGATCATTCGTCCTGTCCACCCGTCTATCCACCGGTAGATCAATGCTAATGATGGCAACTAGTTTTATACTCCTAATGCCTCTGCAGGAGTGCTGGTAGCGTAGTGGTTAAGGCACTTGATTGCTAACCAGAAGGCTAGTGGTTCAAACCCACCAGCCACTCCTCAGAACGAAGTTCGGGCAATCTGCTTCTGTAGTGATACTGCCTCGGAAACCCAAGGAGGAGTTGCT